ATGAAGATGACGCAGTGTTGATAACTGGCACAGAAAAGAAAGTGCAAGAAGTGCTCTACCGAAGGAAGTGAAGGGTAACGAGAAGGAGGGGAATAAACATCAATTGCAAGAAAACTGAATGTGTGGTTGTTAGCAAAAGGAACAGCCTACATGTAAATTACAAATTGGGGATGTCAAAATCAAACAAATACAAATATATCTCGCAAGTGTTTTAACAGATTAAGTGTTCAGTATTCAAATGGAAAGAGTAAATATACGCAAATACAACCTAATGTCTAAACTCCTTCTTTCGTTATTTACTCTTTTCTCTCACATTTGCTCTTCTGTAACCCCTTGCGTACTAGTTGCATTTCTGCCTTCCTTAGAGTCAAATGATTTTAAAAAATCAGTTTAGGCATATTCAAGGTGTCCGTTGTTAATTTTTTTTCTACGTAGTGTAAAATGCATTGTGTACTGGCGGTAGAAAGCTGACGCTGCGCGTGAAGGTGATTTTCTGTTAGGGTGTAGTCTTAGAAGACCGCCAACACATTTGAACTCTTGTTAAATAAAGTAAGGTTAATCAATGTATTAACATTAAAAGAACTTAATAAAAAAAATATAAGAATTTCCTTTTTTCATTCAATGAAACATGCTTAAAAGAATGTTTGCTGCCGAAATATACAACGCAGGCACAGACATATATTTGTGTTTGTGCTTTCAAAGAAAGAACATAGGTGTATAATTATGGTCCACCACACACACACACACACACACACACACACACACACAGATGTATATATACAGCTTAAAATTTGTTTATTCATGTGGGAAGAGAGTTCAAAGTTGGTGGGCGTTTGTAGATATCGAAGTGTGGGCATAAGAATCAACACTGAAAGGTGACTGTCAGTTTCATGTCTCCATTTTATATACAAATAAACAGTATTTAGAAAAATATGACATACTGGAAGAGTTTTTGTGACGCAAAGCCCAGTCCGATGAAATGCTAACGGATGAAACGAGTCACAAAAACTTTTGCAGTTTGTCATATATATATATATATATATATATATATATATATATATATATATATGTATGTATGCATATATATTTCGCTAGTTACAGTGAATAAAATTATTTGAAATGAGAAAATCAGTTTTAGCCAAACAAAACCAGCTTTACGATTCTAAACACTAATTTGTTGCACTAATGTTCACACAATCAAAGGCCCAAAAGCCACTCAAGGTAGAGGCTTACTATATGGCCATATTAGCTTACATTGGACGAAGTTTTTGTATGAGCAGTAAGAGTAGGCGTTCCTAAGTACACTTTTTGAGTATATTTATGAAAATATAATAGTTAACCTACGACTAAAATGTTATGTTTGGAAAAGCAACCTCTTGGGAGTCAGTTCCACAAAATAGCGCTTCTTAGGAAGAAGCTCTGGGAATTCTTTCTTACTAATGGTATACAACGTTAATGCGGATGGTCTGTCTCAGTGTAGTGGCATGTCAAATCCTAGCTGGTAAACCCAGAACTGGGAACTATGCTCATCTTAAAACTTGACATGGAAACAGCGATAGTTTAGCGAGATTTATCATAATAGAAATTGGATCTAAAGTAATATCACTCCGTTATTTATGGTGTGATGGTGTCGACATTGTTTCAGGAATAATTTTATATTAATAGGAAATATAAAGTAAAGTATATTAACCGTAATAAAATAAAAAAAAAACAAAAACCTTATCAGACATGGCATCCCAACAAAAAAACAAATTTCCCCTCCTTATATGCTCTAACGCAAACAAATGAACCCGTCTTGCATATCAAATAGATAAGACCATTAAGCTAACTTGCCAACATCTGACTTATTCCTGAAATGCATTGCATAACCGCTGCTGTTTACGCACAGATGTGCATTAGCAATTTGCTGATCAATATTTGTCCTCAATTCCGCCAATGAAATTGCTGGGAATCCGGTGATGACCACGCCCACAAATCGTTTCCCGCCATAACTAAACAGACTGGCCGTGGTATGAGTAGACAGACGATGTTTATAAGTGGGTACGTAGAGTATGGATTAGGGGAATCTCAAGCTTAGGTCGGAGCAGGTGGCCTACTTGAAATATTGATAGGGCGGGATATGTACACACGGGCGAACACATATGTGTGTGTACACACGTTTATGCGTAAACCCATATGTATATAAACCCGAAGAAGGTTATAGATATGTATCACATTACATAAATTTATAGACATATTTAATTATCTGTATATATAAGTAGAAAATTCCACATACAATCTTACGTACACACACGTATACCTATACGAATATATATACACGGGCATATATAAGATATTTTTGTAGGGGCTTATACATATTGAAGTGTACATTTTTAAGTATATAATTCGATATAAAATGGCACATACACAATCATATCTTCATGAATATATATATATATATATATATATATATATATATATATATATATATATATATATATATATATATATATATATAAAGCCATTTTTGATTAACTAGAACCGACAATATGTGTCTGTTTAATGTTTTATTGTATTTTTACAATTTTCGAATAGGCTGATTGATTTTGGTAGCGAAATTGTGTAGCGTTTTTTGAAATTTTATGTAGGTAGCCGTAGTAATAGGCAAATTTTGAAGAATTTTTAGCTGTAATCAGTTCATTAATCTGTGTTTAAGGAGGTTGAATTGCTGTTTAAATATTCTTTATATATATGTGTGTGTGTGTGTGCGTGATACACACGCATATATATGCATTTTATGTCCACAATATAACAATGAATATATATATATATATATATATATGAGTCTTAGATGTATGTTTATATATTTAAACACAGCGCTGTCTTACACACTCTCTCTTTCTCTCTCTATCTCTCTCTCTCTCTCTCTCTATATATATATATATATATATATATGAATATTTGCACTCACATGTGCATACATGCGTCACCCTCATAAAAATATAATTGGTGCATGTATATGACGATGTATATGTTTGATTTCGGTTTCTCATTCGAACGAATTAATTTGTTAATTTGCTCAAGTCGGTTTACGTTGGTATAAACACATCGAAATCTTGTCGACATGAGTATGCCGATTGATTATTCGTCAGTGATCTGAATTGGCGACATCAAAGATTAAAAGGAAATGTTTAGATTTAATCGGAGACGCATTTTTCTCTTGATGTGTGTGTGTGTGTTTGTCGAGCTGTATTAGATATATATGATCAATAAAGTGTTTACGTACAAACTCGAATAGGTTTCAGGCACTGGTTTCATTTTCATATATCACTTCATTCCTCGTTTTCGTTCCCTTTCTGTGTATCTAATAAATAATACATTATTAATAAAAAAGAACAAGCCAACTCTCAATAATATCCACTATGAACACGGCCATAGTGTGCTGACCGTGTTTGGAAAATAAAACTTTCCTATAACTAGATACACAAATAAAACAATCCATACATACAGTTAGAAAAAAAATAAAAATTATACCATCCTTGACAATGGCTAAAGTTATAGCCGAAAATGCTTGGCCATACAAAGCATTTGTAGAATTTTTACAAAATCTATGTCAAGAAAAGAGGAAATTATATAAAAAAAAAAAAAAAAAAAAAAGAGAAAAGATAAATAAAAAGCTTAACTATGGTATATTTTCATTCATATTTAATGAAACTTGTAGAAAAGAGGGACTGCTACCTAAATACACAGTTTTATATATATATATATATATATATATATATATATATATATATATATATATATATATAAGAAGAAGAAAGAACAGTAAGATATATAAATATGTCCTTATAGATATTTTATTTTTACAAAACAGTGCTCAATGTAAATTTACAGAGCATTAATATTATAAATTAATTGATTTAAAATATGTTTTTTTACGCTACACAGTTCTAACCATGTTTCAAGAATAGAAGCTAAAAGACCCGAATTTAATTTTGCAATTAAATTAAAAGTATTAGTTCCATTTCATCTTCAAGCGAATTTTCTGTGTAGCGGAAAAACATATTTTAAATCAATTAATTTATATATATATATATATATATATATATATATATATATATATAAATCAGTAGCAACCATAATATAAGGAACGGAAACAACAAAGACATAAATGTGTGTATTACTTAAAAAGTAATGCATGAGTAGCAATGAAATTTTTACCGAATAAAGATTAGGGTGTAATGCATAAATATTATACAAAGTTACAAAAATTTACATAATAGTTTTTTTTTTTTTTTTTTTTTTAAATAAAGATTAAATGGAACAAAGGAAATAAGCTACTGGACAAAAGTTAAGGAACGATCTTGTTAATACTTGATTGTGAACAAAATATCAACAAAATTTAATATTTGGTAAGCACCCCCTTATTTTCAAAGACTTCTCTGCATCGTCGACCACATGATCTAATTAATTTCTTGCAAAAATCAGCAGTAATTCCCTCCCATTCGTCTTTCAATATCTCCCATAGGTGATCCTGGTTTTTCGGGTTTCTTTTCTGAGCCCTTTCTCCAATTATCTTCCAAACATTTTCTATTGGATTCAGGTCGGGGCTCTGGGCTGGCCACTGCATTAGGTGATTACTTCTTCTTCATATATATATATATATATATATATATATATATATATATATATATATATATAAAAAACAATCCATACATTCAGTTAAAAGTAATAAATAAAATCATCTTTGATAATGGTTAAAAGTATAGCCGAAAGAGACTTACATACAGTTTATTTGTAAAAAAAAATATATATATTTATGAATTGGGATCAAATATGGATTGAAACTCGACAGAATGATTGGGAACATTTTTCTTTCGTCTTTTTATTCATATCTCATTATTTGATGAAGTTTTAATAAAGATGTTATATTGATAAATGTTTTCTACTTGTTCTTTATCTTATATGTATGTATGTACGTATGTAAAGAAAGAGTGATAGAGCGAGAAGTAGTAGGAAATATGAGGTATGTATACTCAAATGCTAAATCGCACAGATTGAAATGTGAAGAAGAAATGACGAATGCACATTCATATATATGTATCTAAGCTAAACTGCAGACAGAGAAATATATATATATATATATATATATATATATATATATATATATATATATATATATATATATATATATCTATTATCTACGTGCATATGTAGATAATAAATTCATTTTTAAATTTTACAAGGAACATAAATTAACAAGCCACTCCCATTGACTTTAGCAGCTTTGAATGTAATCTCTTACCATGAAATTATGGCCTTGTGTTAAACAAAGCTTAACTTAATTCTAAATAATTTGATCGATAAGTCGAATCATGTGGAAATTTGTTGTGTTTTTCTTAAATCAATCTTGATTTCAGCGGAAATTTAAATGTGAATATCTTACACAAAATATTAATTCTTTTTCCATGAAAAATGACTTATTTCGGTGAACCCTACTCCTGATTATACTATTTATTCTTTTAAATTCTTTTAAAGTCATTTTTTCTATTAATTTCTCCTACGCAATATGCGTTATTTTCTTCTTTTGAGCATTAATTTTTCTCGAAATATTTCCGTTTATTTTTGTTGGGTTCCAATTTTCCCGTATATTTTCTCTTTTTAAAATCAAATTGAAATTATTTTGCCGCGAGAGGAGTTTCGACTTGTTATTTATAATTTATTTTATTTCAAAATAAATTCATTGAATCGTTTCTAAAGAAATAAATTCAGCACGTGAAGAAGAGACAGAGAAACTTATATTTACATGAATATAGAAAGCTAAAAAAAAAAAAAAATCAAGCAAAATCATTTATAGGACGAGCGTAATACAAACGTATATGTATGTGATCTTCTGGTGATCGGGTTGTAATTAAGTGTTCGGCTGCCTGAAGAGAGTTTTCTTTTCGCTACTACATTTCAGAGCAAAAAAAAGTGTGAATGTACATATGAGCTTTCCTTTTATAGTACCGGAAACAACGACACCTAGCGAGCATTCCAGCAGACAAGGATGTTTAATTCTCACAATTTTTCAATACTTTTCGATCTTTTAAAACCTACTCGATACTTATCTATTTGCCCGGCTATTGTTCTTCCTATCTCCATGTTCTTTGATTATTAATATTATAATTTAAAAAAAAAATGCTAGTCCTGGATACGAAGATAGACCTCATCTGACAGTAAGGGATGTCAACAAACTAAGCTACAAACACATTTTAATCTTACATGTTTTTTTTTTACTACACCAGAGGAATCAGAAGTGCATCTCGGAGCAGTGGGATTTTTCTCGCAGTAATGCACCATGCAAACAAAAAGACAACCGTCCTAGGTATGACGATAAACTATATTAGGTAGCAAGGCCTCTGGTCGAGAGGTTTTGAGGAGCCTGGAATTACCTCTTTATTGCTGTTGTTCCCAAGTCCACCCTGACCCGGGGTGTTAGCAACTGTTCAGGTCTCAATTATGGGCAGACAATGAACCCTCCAAACAAAATACTATGAAAGTATAAAAATACTTTTTTTTAGTAAAAGTACGTTTTATATTTAAAAAAAAAAATGACCATACATGTTTGTAGTAAAATTACCAACACGAGCTATTTGTACTGAAATTACCAACAATACATTTTATCTGTAGTTGAAGACATACATTTGCGTTCAATATATTTAGATTTCGAAATTAGATAACACATAGAGGTGTTGATTTGCCGCTAAAGCAAATCAACCAACCAAAATCAACCAAATAATTTGTTTTTATATTTTCTGTTTTCCCTTCTCTTTACTGAACAAATTTCGATTCGACTAGCATTTGATGCGTGACGTTAATCTCTTTAAATTTTGTTTAATCTGTCACAAGATGCTTAAAAGATCTGTTGTTAATCTCTTGTCTTCACTTTCCAGTCTTAATGACGTCCAAAAATGTCTACTCGACCTTGTTTGTGAAGAATTGTTTTCCACCTTACCACTTCTTTCCCAGAGACGAAACATTGCAAACGCCTTGCTAGCCTTTCACTATGTCTATGGAAAATGTTCACTCTAGTTACATTCGTTAGTTCCCCCAGCTCTAACCCTCCAAGCTAGAACCCGCGGACGTTGAGTCGGACTACCCTCATTCCCTTTTATTTCTTTACAAAAGAGTAAGTTTCATTCGGATAGCTTATTCCAAAGATTTGTTGGTTTGTAGAACATAATCCCAGGAGGATTCTTTTGTGACCACTATAATCTTAGCTTCTCCAAATCTTGGGTAAACCGTTATCTTGCGCAGGTGACCGCCTAAGATATGCCCTTACTCATACCCCTCAGGTAACAAATGCCTTTAGGAAACCTCGACGCTGAGTATGGTGAACATTATTTGAAAAAAAACGAAAAAAAACATCATGTTAATATCTAATTTAAATCATCAGGCAATGTTGTAAGCTTCGCCTTTAAAATTTAATTACGTTTATTAATTTTATCCCCAAATCGAGAATGATTAGCAGCATTTTTTTCTCAATAAATTTAATGATATTTGCGGCACTGAAACAAATTACTGTCTTTTCATTAAGATAGAAACCTTATCCCCCATGTCGCAAAAATTCATATGAGAGAGAGAAAGGGAGAGAGAAAGTCTCATCTCCACCGGTGAGGAGATTTTACGGCATTCACTGCTGAATAGGGTACAAGGCTTAATGCCACATCTCCATCGGTGAGGAGATTGTACGGCATTCACTGCTGAATAGGGTACAAGGCTTAATGTCTCATCTCCATCGGTGAGGATATTGTACAGCATTCACTGCTGAATAGGGTACAAGGCTTAATGTCTCATCTCCATCGGTGAGGAGATTGTACAGCATTCACTGCTGAATAGGGTACTAGGCTTAATGTCTCATCTCCATCGGTGAGGAGATTGTACGGCATTCACTGCTGAATAGGGTACAAGGCTTAATGTCTCATCTCCATCGGTGAGGAGATTGTACGGCATTCACTGCTGAATAGGGTACAAGGCTTAATGTCTCATCTCCATCGGTGAGGAGAATGTACGGCATTCACTGCTGAATAGGGTATAAGGCTTAATGTCTCATCTCCATCGCTGAGGAGATTGTACGGCATTCACTGCTGAATAGGGTACAAGGCTTAATGTCTCATCTCCATCGGTGAGGAGATTGTAAGGCATTCACTGCTAAATAGGGTACCAGGCTTAATGTCACATCACCATCTTTAAAATTGTGTGCAGGCCTGTCAGTAGTTTTCTTTATCATTTAGATATGTTTGAATGTTGCAATTATCATTCAAACTTATTCTTTTCTGTGCCATGTCCCATCAAGACGTTGGCAATCATGACCCATCATATCTTCTTTGCCTTAACCCTATGAGCCCTATGTTCCTGAACAATTTTAACCCCTCTGCCTGACCTCCCGAGTCAAAATTCGCAAATAAACTGCATGTAATGTTTCACGGTTGATATAAAAATAGTTACAAGTATTTACCCAACTTTCAACCAGTAGCTGGGCATTACGTCATTTTTGCCTACGACTGTTCAACCGGTTTCTGGGCATTAAGTTAATTTTCTCTACCACCGGTAAAGTGGTGGTCAGAGCTCAAGGGGTTAATAAGTTTTGTTGTCTTTTATTTCTCCCGAAACATGTTCTGCCATTCATTCGCTCAAAATAGCGAGTCTTTGTCTGGTTGACCATTACTACTGAGTGGCGAGTTCAAACCCATACTATGTACTCCATAGAAAATTCAACTTTATATAACTGTTGTGGTAAACACTCCTACCGTAGAATGAACTCTTCCTCCTCTCATAAATGCAAACTGCGAGAGTCAGATACTGAAGAGAGTAGAAATGGAGTAGTAGGCGCAGTACTAATCTACTTATTACTAATACTATTGTTTTGTATATATCTTCAATATACTTTTCAACCTACCTTCGTCTTCTGTGTCTTTCTTTCTGGCCCCTAAACAGGTCACAACAATAACCCACTAAGGGTTGACATATCGTATAAATACGGAAACAACCAACATTTTTTATTGGGGGATTGAAGGCTTCTTCAAATATACACGTTTCAGTAAATGTAATAAAAGAAACAGACCACAGTAACGTATAAGGATAAGGTGTTTTGCAGAAAAACAACCGACCTTTCTCTAAAGTAATTAGACATTGACTCGTCCATCCGTGATGAGTAGAAGGTTTGCTCATAAGAAAAGTCGTCGCAAAGTGGGTCGGTCTGAGTTCAGTCCAAAGTCGGGCGACCGACTGATCGGCTGAACTCTCTGCCTTCGGGCGGGGAGGAATCCGAACGAGGCTACGCCGAAGGGCGGAGTCTCTTTCGGGGAGGTAAACCGACCCTGAACCCGTTTATACGTGTTCAAAGGGCATACTTTTGGCCAAGCCCACGGGCTCGGAGATCCTACGATAAACCGGCCTTGTGCCACATGATGCCCTTACATTATTTTTTACGATTTCTTCGTAGTTGTCTGCTCTATAATCGCCTAAAGGTTTTTTTTATCGAGTCCATGAATGAGAACCATATTTTTCGCGTTCATTCATTAACTTTTAAACCTAATTCAATAGTCAAAAAATTGAAATTTGTTCCCCGGTGTTATTAATCTCAGTCTTTTAAACTTGTTCTTCACTTAACCTCTTGCTTCAGTATTTTCTTAAAATATTATTAACCAGAACTACAAGAGTTCTATGAACTTTATAAGAAATAGAGAAGAAAGTACTAACTATCAACTGTAAGAAAACAAAATCTATGGAGGCTAACAAAAGAGATAACATTCGACTTACAAATTGGTCATGTCAGAAATCAAGAAATTTAAAAGATTTTAATATCTAGTAAGTGGATAGAAAGTTCAACACAGAGATCAGAAGGCACACTGGAATAGCAAAAATGCCTTCTAAAAGCTAAGCAAAGTATTAAGAAATAGAAACATCTCGTCAGAAACAAACATAACAATACTGAACTGTAATGCAATATTGATTCTCCTATATATCAGTGAATTCTGGAAGATCTCCCCACAGATGAAAATTGAGGCAACTAAATTTACTAAGAGCTACAAAGGGCAGAAAATTATGGTTGTGGGCTTGATCGTCTACACCCTGAAGGGAAACGGCACATAGAAGAAGAATAAACGAAACATATATCCATATATGTCATTCACGGACATCCATAATAAATTTCAATAAAATTTATGCTGAGTGTTACAGCCTAACTTATTTTTTTCTTTACTCACTCATATTTAACTTCTATTTTTTTTTATCAGCTGGGCTTTTAAGCAAGCTTTTTCGGAGAGCTAATTGGGCCTCCGAACCAAAGCTAATTGGGCATCCGAACCAAAGCTAATTGGGCCTCCGAACCAAAGCTAATTGGGCCTCCGAACCAAAGCTAAAAGAACCTCTGGACCAGCTTAGAAAACTGTAATGAAAAACTTTGAATTCCTTACTTAACTCCATGGAACTTCAAACCTTAGTTTGATTCGGTCTATAAGTCCAAATCCGTCCAAAAGATCGATTTGTGACTAATTCCAGTTGTGGACGAAATTCCAATTTAGGCTGAAAACTGAGTTCTTCAGATCACAAACTCCATAGAACTTTAATTGATTTGACTTCTTCAAATTAAACTCTGTGGAACATCAAAACATCACACCACGAACCCTCCCCCTTTAACTATAATTACTTGGCACTTTGAAGAAATAAAATTTATTTCCTGTCTTCACAAAGTTTTGGAGATATTTTAAAATGAATTTAATACAAAAAAATAAAATTCACAAAGTCTTTGTGATACTTTAAACTCAACATGAATTAAAAACTTTTAAAATCACTAATGTTTTCAGGACCCAAATCCCAATGACGGGCAGATTTCCAATCCCGGAATCATCCTGATTCTAAAAAGGTATAATATGTCTATGTAGAGATAATGTGGCTCAAGTTAAAAGGGTTAAAGACACATGGACGGGAGAGAGAATTTGCTCTTTATTTAATAAAGATTTTCAAGATTATAAGCATATTTTCATGACATTAGTTTAAACATATTTTAAACGTCTTGTTTAAAGTTTATGTGTTTTCGATTTCAGATGAAACTTTGCAAATATTTTAACATATTTTCACATTTCAAAATATTCAAACAAATTTTCAGTTTTACAGAAATTCTAACACATTTTCAGTTTTACAGAAATTGTAACACATTTTCAGTTTTACAGAAATTCTAACACATTTTCAGTTTTACAGAAATTGTAACACATTTTCAGTTTTACAGAAATTCTAACACATTTTCAGTTTTACAATTTGTAACTATAGTTTTGATATATAGAATAAATCATTTCCCTAATCTGATTCCAAGACGGTATGGGTTAAATACTATTAATCGATTGATTGTTTTTTGTCGTTATTTTTAAGCCTTATAGACATATTTACAGGTTATTTAAAACCAGAAATATTTTACGATTATAAGAATTTTTGGAAATAATAATGATTTACTGATACAAGTCCTAATAATTAACCCATAGCCGTTGTGATATGCAATTCGAAGCTGTTATCCATTACCCCAGCTGCACAAACCAAGCTTACAGCACGTGGTATTCTCAAGCGGTCACCCATTCAGGTAGGCACCAGGTTTCATTTCTTGATTTTTATTCTTTTTATTGTCTTTATATTCAATAACGTTTTCACATTTAGACCAAAACGAACACCAGTTCTTTTTTTGTTTATTTTGGACTGTCGATTTCCTTATTTCGTGCATTTACTCGATGTTTAAGTAGATAGCTTACTAATTATATTTATATTGTTTAACTTTGGTGATCCTACGGCAACCGGTGTTTCAACGTGATATGGTCGGAAGCCTGAAATAAATTAGGTTTTTTTTCAATAGCAGGAGTAGTCGAAAATGTTTTCAGGCTATCTTCGTTTTAATCCCCTTTTTGCTATTCGTCATTTTTGTTTCTTTCTTTTATCCCTACATTCCTTCATTCTTTCTTTCTTTCTTTATTTCTTTTTTCTCTCTTTTTTTTTTTTTACTATCTCTCTTTACTGTTTCCTTTCTTTTTACAGTCTTTCTTTCTTTTTTACTATCTTTCTTTAGGATTGTTTTCTTTCTTTCTACCTTTCTTTCTACCTTTCTTTCTTTCTTTCTTTCTTTCTACCTTTCTTTCTTTCTTTCTTTCTTTCTTTCTTTCTACCTTTCTACCTTTCTTTCTACATTTCTTTCTTTCTTTCTTTCTACCTTTCTTTCTTTCTTTCTACCTTTCTTTCTACTATGTTTTTTTCATCCTTTTTTATTTTCTTTTTTTATCTTTTACTATTTTCCTTTCCTTCTTATTATCTTTTACTTTTACTATATTTCATTCTGTTTTACTATTTTTCTTTCTTTTTACTCTTTCTTCCATTTTTACTATCTTCCTTTCTTTTTTTTAACTATCATTCTTTTTACTATATATCTTTCATTTTTAATATCTTTCTTTCTTTCCTTCCTTACATTTTACTATCTTTCTTTTTTCCTTTTTACTACCTTTCTTTCGTTTTACTATCTTTCTTTTTTTACTTTGTTTTTCATTCTTTCATTAATTCTTTCTTTCTTTTTACTGTCTTTCCTTCTTTCTTTCTCTTTTTTACCACCTTTCTTTCTTTTTATTATCTTTCTTTCTTTTTTACTATCTTTCTTTCATTAATTCATTCTTTCTTTTTACTATCTTTCTTTTTTACTTTCTTTTTCTTTCTTTCATTAATTCTTTCTTTCTTTTTTACTTTCTTTTTCTTTCTTTCTTTTTTACTTTCTTTTTCTTTCTTTCTTTTTTACTTTCTTTTTCTTTCTTTCATTAATTCTTACTTTCTTTTTTACTTTCTTTTTCTTTCTTTCATTAATTCTTTCTTTTTTACTTTCTTTTTCTTTCTTTCTTTTTTACTTTCTTTTTCTTTCTTTTTAATTCTTTTTTCTTTTTCCATTCTTTTTCTTTCTTTCTTTTTTTTTTTTTCTTTTTTCTTTCTTTCTTTTTTTCTTTCTTTTTCTTTTTTTCTTTTTTTCTTTTTTACTTTTTTTTCTTTCTTTAATTCTTTTTTTTTTTCTTTCTTTTTTTTTACTTTCTTTTTCTTTCTTTCATTTTCTTTCTTTTTACTTTTTTTTCTTTCTTTTCTTTCTTTCATTTTTATTTCTTTTCTTTCTTTTTTTTTTTTTTTTTTCTTTTTTTTCTTTAATTAATTTTTACTTTCTTTTTCTTTCTTTCATTAATTCTTTCTTTTTTACTTTCTTTTTCTTTCTTTCTTTTTTACTTTCTTTTTCTTTCTTTCTTTTTTACTTTCTTTCTTTTTTACTTTCTTTTTCTTTCTTTCTTTTTACTTTATTTTACTTTCTTTCTTTTTTACTTTATTTTTCTTTCTTTCTTTTTTACATTATTTTTCTTTCTTTCTTTCTTTTTTACTTTATTTTTCTTTCTTTCTTTATTACTTTCTTTTTCTTTCTTTCTTTCTTTTTTACTTTATTTTTCTTTCTTTCATTAATTCTTTCTTTCTTTTTACTATCTTTCTTTTTACTATCTTTCTTTTTACTATCTTTCTTTTTTACTATTTTTTTTCTTCTTCCTTCCCTTCTTTTTTACTATCTTTCTATTTTTAATTTCTTTCTTTCTATTTTTAATTTCTTTCTTTCTATTTTTAATTTCTTTCTTTCTATTTTTAATTTCTTTCTTTCTTACTACCTTTCTTTCTTTCTTACTACCTTTCTTTCTTTTTTACTACCTTTCTTTCTTTTTTACTACCTTTTTTTCTTTGTTACTACCTTTCTTTCTTTATTTTACTGTCTGTCTTTCTTCCTTGCCTTCATTTTTTCCTTCTTTGAGAAAAGCAATAAGAAAGATAAGAAAAACGTATCTTTCTTTCCTTCTTTGTGTGACTTCTGAACATTGTCCCATTATTACATTTTTTTCTTCCTTTCATACAAAAATTTCTTTTAATTTTCTTCATGCCTTGTTTTTATTCACCATTTTCCTTACATCAATTTTTGTCGCATTTCTTAACTTTCATAGTTGGTTCCTTTTTTTTCTTAATCTCTCTCTCTCACTTTCTCTCTCTCTCTTTCTCTCTTTCTCTCTCTCTTTCTCTTTTATATATACTTCCTTTCCTTTCTCTATTTTCCCTTTTTCTTACAGTTATCTTTCCTTAACCTTGCCGGACTTAAGTTTTCATCACTAGACTTTATATTTTTCGTCATCGCCTTTTCTTCATTTTCTGGTAATTTCTTTTTCTTTTTTTTTGTTCTCTGATATTCTGCTTGCTTTTTTTTCCCTGTTAATTCCAGACATTTCCGCTTTCCAACTCTCTTTATCTTTATCAATCTGTTATTTCCCGTACATTATTTTCTTTTTTTAATTTTAGACTTTATTTATTTTCAACTGCTAACGAATGGATGAATGCCGAATTCCTCAAGTGCTTTATGATTCCCGAATTCAGCGAAGACATGTGCCACGTGACCCTTTAAAAATTCCGTACCCAAAAACCGCTGGTTCATACGAAAGCCCCTTAATGACCCCTATTTATGTACACTTAATTCCCTCTAGACTAAACACTCAAAACGTACATATGTCCTTTGTAAATGGATATCTAGGTATGTATCCTAAGTATGTATGTATGTATATATATATATATATATATGTGTGTGTGTGTGTATGTATGTATGTATGTGTCTGCTGTGTGTGGTTGTGCCCACATGTATGTATGTATGCATGTATGATTATATGTATATGTACAAATGTATGTGTTCGAATATATGCACGTATGTATGTGTGCTTATATGCGTATTTTACATATGAAAATGTATGTGTGTATCTGCATGTATACATATATATATATATATATATATATATATATATATATATATATATATATATGGTATACCACCATAGTTGATGGGTGGTTGAAGATGACTCAGCAGTGGTAGATGATACCCGTTTTTCCATGCATTTTTCCGAGTACACATCACCAAAGCCACTGACTAATAAAAAAAATATTTATTTTATTCAATAAATATTTTTTGTTACAATCAACATCCTTTAAATGCACTTAATCTAACGTTTCTTTATTAATCACAGAGTTCAAATATTATGTAATGAACATTTCAGATCAAAATTCAGCTAATAAATGTCTGAGGTTACGAACTTATTTATTTGATAATCTTCACAAAAAGATTTGGTGATAATTCACTGCTCCCGATTTCGTTCTCAGATTTTCTGGAAGCAATATAAGTAGAACACGTAAAACTTCCTCTACTGCCCGACAATGAAAGAATAATGTATGTGTGGCAAGAAATCCGAAGTTAGTACATATGTAAACATAATTGATTATAAATATTCGTCTGATTCATTACCCGATACGATATTATTAGTCTGATAATCATATATTTCAACATACACAGACACACAAGCACGAACGCACGCGCGCATACACATACGCCCCCCACACGTATGTGTGTGTGTGTAATTAATGATGATCTAATGATATATATATATATATATATATATATATATATATATATATATATGTGTGTGTGTGTGTGTGTGATAAACATGAGTAAAAAGTTTATAGGAGTATCAGTAATATATATATATATATATATATATATATATATATATATATATATAAAAAAGTAAGCATTGAAGTCAACAGTCATAGGAAACAGACTGCTTCATGTTAAACACAATCATCGAGGCACATGCGTTGCGATTTTTCTCAACTACACACACACACACACACACACACACATATATATATATATAAGTTTTGTTCGTTTAATTTGTAGTTTCCCTTTTATCTCGGAAGGTAATTATAGCTATTTTTTTTGTTGTGATTTGCTATTTGTTTTGTTTTAATTTTCCAAATATATTTGGAACGTATTGTGCTGTTCGCATATTTACTACTCGTGAAAGATGTTTTGTGTGCGTAGTTCAGTTATTCCTATGTATATTTTTTCTTCGTTATCTGATAATTTTACCGTGGCTTAGTATATTACATTGTTTTGTTAGCAATTTCCGTTTAATGGACATTCGTTCTCTTAACGAATGTCCCCTACAATGAATCACTAACACGTATATTCCCGAGAAAAATCATAACGCACGTGATCTGATGATTGCATTTAACATGAAACAGTCTGTCGCCTCTGAGTGCTGATTTCAATGGTCATATGGGGGTATTGAATTTCATTTATACGTAATTCATGCATATATATATATATATATATATATATATATATATATATATATGATAGGCTGGTTAATGAAATTTGCGACAAATTCCAACAAAATGCTAACAATATTGCCACTAAATGTGGTGATATTTATTATATATACATATTAACCTTTTGTCTAAATTGAAGATAGAAGAGAAATATATAATTGTGACGTCGTCCCCCGGTCGCAGCGTCGACTGCGTCGTTCGATCCCGGTCGCGGCGCCAATTGTGACGTCACGTGCTCCCCTGGTTATTGATACCAGCCTCGCCGTTCCCAACCCGCTTCAAACGCCTGGTTACCAGGGTAACCGCACTGATCTCCAGTCTGCCTACCCACGTTGTGAATTGATCTTAGACAGACGAGATCAAACAGGGGTTGGGGCCGTAATGCAAGTTGAGTCTAACGGGGGTGATAACACACAATTATGTATGAAAGAAAAAATAAAAACTCACAAGGTCCAACGTATCAAAGAAAAAGGTAACAAACTTTTTATGTCTATTTGCTCGGTATATAGGACTATGTCTACTTCCCGACCCGTTCTGTGGATTGTGGCACGACGCCTTTACTAGGTAACTTTAAGGCTTCCAGTTGTCTGCTCTCTAAGAAATTTGTGTTTCGGTGTGTCTTTGGACGAAAGTTGAAAAAAAAAAAACTTATTTCTGGGTCTGATTCTAAGTCGCTCTTCAAACTACTTGTTCTTGGTTGAAGAAGAGTCCAGAAGTGTGCGTGAATCTTGGTCAGCTATCTTGACGCAGTTTCAACACTGGGCGCTCATCTCTGCTTGTCGTCCACGGCTGAACTCTTTCGCCGTCCGCTGCTCAAACTCTAACTCAAACTTCTTCTCTTCTGAGTCTGAATTACTGGTCACTCATCTCCGCCGTCGGTACGCGAACTAACTTCCTCTCTTCGGCTTGGGTCGAACGAACTTCTTCACTTCGGCTTGGATCGGACGAAATTCTTCACTTGGGCCCAACGAACTGGTCTCTCTTGCCCGCAAAGTGGCGAACGAACCTGGCCCGCCGTCCTCGGCTCAAACTGATTTCTGTCGGTTGGGGTCCCGCTTTTATTGACGCAGTCAAAACTGGGGTGGGTCTGTCGGCGCCAGGGGTTTTTCGATAATTCTAAATACGTATCCACCCTTCTTATTTCTGGTTAGGGATTTTCATTCCCTTTCCATTTTCGGTAACTCACTCTCTCTCCCACTCCCTTACTGTGCCTCTGAGGGCGTGTGCCTGCTTCCCCGCTTCTTCGTATCGGCTTCTCACACTTACACCTCTGACAGGGGCGTCGACCGATTCTCCTCGTGCGTCACGTGACCGCTCTCGGCCAATGAGGTCCTGGTCGGGTATCTTTCCTCCTCCTTCGTGTGTCATGTGACCGCTTTCGGCCAATGAGGTCCTGGTCGGGTACCTTTCCTCCTCCTTCGTGTGTCATGTGATCTTATTTAGCCAATGATGTCTTTAGTCGGGTGTGGACAATCCGTGGCTTTGTTTTGGGGAAAGGAACACCTTGCTTAAAAACAAAAATAATAAATCTAAATCGCCCCCACCATGAGCGACCGCTATGACACCTTCGGCTTTTTAACATGGTATTTGTCAAGCAGTTTATCGCTAATTGGATATGACCTAAGAAAGGGATTTCTCAGACCTGTTGGCGTTTTTTCTGAACGAAATAAAAATATTTCATTTTCCTCCGGCCGAAGGTCCGATAATAAAAATCTTTATTATCTCAAAAAAATTTTCAGCGACATCATCTTGTGTGGCTTTTTTCCAATTCTGGAGATTGTCTGGGTTTTCGTATTAATGGTTTGCCTTCATATCCTTAGATACACTTCCCCACCCACTTAGACTTTTACTATCATCCAAATGACACACTTTCCACTTGTTACATATCAATATTTTTCATTGTCCCTAAACTTCGTTTCTTCAACCAATTGATAACAACTTCCATTTTCCCCAGATCTCGGTTAGATGCTTGAC